TCTCTCTCTCTCTCTCTCTCTCTGTCTCTGTCTCTCTTTCTCTCTTTCTCCCTCTCTCTCTCTCTCCCTCTCTCCATCAGTCCACAGGAAATATGCATGGGGCCGCAGTCAAAGGGATGTTTGTCAACGTCATGTGGAACGCGGAGCTGCGACGATGCTTGCATGTTAAGCAGCCCCTCTGCCTTTATCAAGCCAATCACAGGCGCTAGGAAAATGAGAAAATGCGGTGGGGCCCAGACACCTGGCATTAAGACACTCTCCCTCCCTCTTCCATCCATCCTCATCCTGCTTCCCTAGCCTCCCACCTGCCCGCCATCCCTCCCGCGACAAGCCAGGCACGCAGCCGCAGACGCGCGACAGCAGCACAGAGCCAGCGGACAGACAGAGAGCAGCCGGCAGGACGCAAGAAAGAGACGCAGAAGCAAGAAAGAAAGAGCCGAAGAGAGAGAGGCAAGCCGAAGACAGAACGAAGGCAAAGAAAAGACGACAGAACGAAAGAAGGAAAGAAGAAAGGAAGAGGAAGGACAAGAGAAGACGAAACAGAAGCGAAAGAAGCCAGCGCAGAAGAAGCCGAGGCAACGACACAAAGAAAGCAAGAGAACGAGCGCAAAAAGAAGAAAGAACAAGACAAGAAGAAGAAGAAGACGCAGCCAAACATAAACCACTCCATCCATCCACATCTCCATACTGCCACCATCCCCATCCTCGCGACCCTGCCCTCACATCACCCCACCCACCCAGTACACTAAGCTCACGAAACAATCGACGCCCTCCATTTCCCTCCCTCTTCATCCAATCCATCCCTCTCCACTCACTCCTCATCCCACTCTCCCTACTCATACACCCTCAAGCCAGTACATCCTCTCCCTTCTCATCATCCTCTCCCTATCACCTTCATATGAGATCATCAGAATCAATCTGCGGCCCTATTTGTCTCCCTCTCTCCTCTTTTTCATTAACCGAAACAAATAAAGGCCTCCCTAATCCTTCGGCAAAGGTGCTTTTTTATTGGACGCTTAAGCCGTCAAGACAGGCTACTGCGCCTGGGTTTTACAACCGCTCAGTAATTCCTTTGTGCCGGCTGGACTCAAGTTTATCACTGTGTTTTGCTCATGGAGAGGGCCATGACCTGAATGCTACCTGCGGGTACATAAAGGCCTGGACACAGCATAGCGGCATGCACTCGTTCCCCCTACTAACGCTTGACTTTACAGGACCACAGGACGGATCTGCACTCTTTCTTTCTTTCTTTCTTTCTTTCTTTCTTTCTTTCTTTCTTTCTTTCTTTCTTTCTTTCTTTCTTTCTTTCTTTCTTTCTTTCTTTCTTTTTTTCTCTCTCTCTTGCATCACTACATCAATACAATCAACCCCTATGCATGGTGGGGTGACTAGCTATATAATAGCAGTCTGCGCGGGGTGCAAAGCTGCAGCCTTGGCCTTCACTGCATGACGATTGGGCAGTTCGCACATCGAGCAATGATTATTCTTTCTGCTACCACCTAAAATAACATGTGGTGGTGGAGCTGATAAGCTGGATCAATGCGTCTGGCACACTGTAAAGAAAATCAAGTTGCTTCAACTAAATATTCTTAAGTAACTTGTTCCACAGCCTTTTTTTTGTTTACTCAACTTTTCTGTCAAAGTGTTACCTGAATTTAAAAAGAAATTGTTGGCCTAAACTTAGCTCCAACATGAGAAAACTTTTTTTCCAATTGTTTCATATGTTCATTCAACTAGAAATTATTATTTCGGTATCTTACCTAAAAAGGCTCTGGAACTAGTTACACACACAGTAGTTTTAACATACAATGTTTTCAACTTGTTGAGCAAACAAAGCATAATAAATTGACTGAATTTTGTCTAAGTTTTCTCAAGTTGGAGCTACGTTTGGGCCAACTTATGCTTTTTAGTTCAGGTAACACTTGGATCGAAAAGTTAAGTAAACAAAAACAAAAAAGGCTATGGATTCAGTTACTGAATAATAATTAGTTGAAACAACTAAATTAGTGTGTATATATATTTGTTTTACAGTACAGTTGTTCAAACCCCTTTTATTTTGAAATAGCTTAGCACACACAAAACAAAGGAGGTAGATGGAAGCCAAATAATCTATTTTGTCAGGCCTCCAAATTCACGCTTGGCACAGCTCGCTCTCATCCACAGGTTAGTCCCTATACCCGGGTAAACCTCTGAAATGCCTTGATTTATTTCTCTCAAATGTATCTGTCTGACCAGAATCTGTATAGAAGATCTGGTATGTTTCTGGAACATATGACCTTATAACTGGGCCTGAAGTTGTGGCTCAATCTGTTGACAGAACATCCCTGTTAAATGTGACCATTCATTCACGTTAGAGGTCTTCACGGATCCAAAAAGTTGGACCTGTTCCAAAATGTACCTGGGGCTTTCCCACCCCAAACCGATACACACATAATTTTTGTTAAACATAGACACCCGTTTCGAACAGACCTGATGACAACTACACCCGTTCTGTACAGATCTGGTCAGATCCAGACCCGGTCCGATCCGATCCGAGTAATGGAAGCAGCAGAAAAGTCATTTTTTAAGCTACTTTATTAAAAGTAGTTGATAAAGCGTGAGAGGAGGGAGAGAGAGGTGCCGCCCAAGCAGGCGGAGGAGGGGCCGTACTGTGAGAGAGAGACACAGGGAGCAGGGAGGAGGGAGGGAGAGACAAGAGACAGCAACCAACCAAGCTGATTCGCGCTATAGTGGACTAATAGCAGCCATTGCTAGGTTATTTATTATCCAATATGATTACGTAGTACCTGTCTTGATTGCATCAAACCGTGAGAACCTAGTTAAGATAACGTTAGCTAGCTAGGCTAATTCGGGCTGCAGTGAATGTGCTTTCTTATTCTACACTTACAAATAACAACAACTCCATCCAGAATATTAAGTAGCAGCCTATCTGTTCGCTCCTGGTTGTTGTAGCCTATCCTTCTCCTTTAACTTTTAATTCCGCCATTTTAATGCCATCTTCCACTGATTAGATATCTCTTAACTTTTGCCACACATGGAGGCACTATGACTGTAGGCTATTGCCGCTTTTATGACTTATGATTGGCCAACAACAACAACAAGCTACATACGCCACGCTACACTCTTTTGAAAAGAAAGAGCAGCAGCATACATTTTAAAATGTCTCTCTCTCTCTCTACTGCAGCAGTCGCATTCGGATCTGTATGGGCCCTTCCGGACAAGTCAGGTTATTCGGGTACAGGTGGATCCGTGAAGACCTCTAATTGACATATACCAGGTGAACCCAAATTGACTATACTCTCTAAAAAGACTAGATTATAACCCTAGTGACTATACTCTCTACAAAGACTAGATCATAACCCACAGTGACTATTCACACTGCAAAGACTATATAATAACCCACACACTATACTCTCTACAAAGACTATATTATAACCCAGAGCGACTATACAACCTACAAAGACTATATTATAACCACAGTGACTATATACCCTACAAAGACTATATTATAACCCAAAGTGACTATACACCCTACAAAGACTATGTGTAACCCACAGCGAATATTACATTTACATTTTAGTCATTTAGCAGATGCTCTTATCCAGAGCGACTTACAGTTAGTGAGGGCATACTTATTATTTTATTATACTGGTCCCCCGTGGGAATCGAACCCACAACCCTGGCGTTGCAAGCGCCATGCTCTACCAACTGAGCTACACGGGACTATACACCCTACAATTACTATTTTATAACCCACAGTGATTATATTCGCTACAAAGACTATATTATAACCCACAGTGAATTTACACCCTACAAAGACTATATTATAATCCACAGCGGCTATAAACCCCTACAAATACTATTTTATAAACCAAAGCGACTATACTTCCTACAAAGACTATTCTATAACCCACACACTATACTCTCTACAAAGACTATATTATAACCCAGAGCGACTATATAACCTACAAAGACTATATTATAACCACAGTGACTATATACCCTACAAAGACTATATTATAACCACAGTGACTATACACCCTACAAAGACTATATTGTAAAGCACAACGACTATACAACCTATAAAACTATATTATAACCCACATCGACTATACACAATACAAAGAGTATAATATTACCCACAGCGACTATACTCCCTACAACGACTATATTATAACCCACAGTGACATGCCTCTCTACAAAGACTATATTATAACCCACAGCGTCTATACACCCTAAAAAGACTATATTATAACCCACAGTGACATTACTCTCTACAAAGACTATATTATAACCCACAGCGTCTATACCCCCTAAAATACTATATTATAACCCACAGTGACAATACACCCTACAAAGACTATATTATAACCGACAGAGACCAAACTCCCTACAAAGACTATATTATAACCCACAGTGACTATACTGTCTACAAAGACTATACTATAACCCACAGCGACTATAAACTCCTACAAAGACTGTTTTACAAACCACAGTGACTATACTCCCTATAAATACTATTCTACAACCCACAGTGACTATAGTCTCTACAAATAATATATTATAACCCAGAGCGACTATACCACCTACAAATACTATATTATAACCCAGAGTGACTATACTACCAACAAAGACTATTCTACAACCCACAGCGACTATACACCCTAAAAAGACTATACTATAACCCACAGCGACAATACACCATACAAATATTATATTATAACAACAGCGACTATACTCTATACAAAGACCATATTATAACCCACAGCGACTATACACCCTACAAAGACTATATTATAACCCACATTAACTATACTCCCTACAAAGACTATATTATAATCCACAGCGACTCTACACCCTACAAAGACTATATTATAACCCACATTAACTATACTCCCTACAAAGACTATATTATAATCCACAGCGACTCTACACCCTACAAAGACTATATTATAACAGACAGCGACTACACTCTCTACAAAGACTATATTATGACGCACAACGTCTATACACCCATTGGATGCTGAAGCACAACGCAGCCATGACAATGAGTAGTGAGACTGAGAGTCGACCGGGACCGTCTTAACCATCACTCTCCCCTGTCCTGTACACCCACCCCCTGTCCCCCCTCTCCCCCAGGGCATTGGCACAGATTGGCACAACAGCAACACGCTGCAGGGACAGATCAGATCAGAGCGAACTAAGCGTGGTCTCACCTCTGGCAGCGGCATGCCGTTGATGATGAGGTCAGGCTGCTGGGGACCCTGCCCGCTGGCGAAGGGATGCTGCTGATAGCCACCGTGGTTGGGCCCGGCATTGCGCGAGTTCTGGTTCTCCACGTTGAGGAAGGTGCTCTCGGAGCGCCTGCAGCCCAGCGGCAGGCTCTGCTGGTGGTAGTCGAAGTAGTTGAGCGAGGAGGTGAGAGACGAGCAACTCACCACGTTCATCTTGTCCGTCTCCTCCACGTCACGCGGCACGAGGCGAATGTCGTTCTTGCTCAGCTTCTTCTTGCTCGACTTCTTCTGGCTGCCATACGAGTACTCCGCCACCCTGCGTAAGTAGAAGAAACTGAACAGACTCAATAAAGCAGTGCTCTGTCGTACCTGCCCACAGGCACACGCCGTTCAGCCAGAGGCGCCCCGCCCTGCCATGCCAGGGTGCTGACCGAAGCGTGCCGTGGTGGTGGCAAGCACATTGGTAAGCATCCGGGGTAGTGAGACAGAGGAGCCACGCTCAAGTGACCCCCCCCTCCACCCAAGCCTGACCGCCTTCCCTGGGCCACCAATGGAGCCGTCATCCCTCATTTGTTTTCATTTGCATGCTCGGCACAGTTGACATGTCACAAACAACAAGCACACACAATGCAAACATGCCAAACCACAAAAGCACACATGGCAACAACAACAGACGATACTGAAGAGCACAAACCAGAATCTGCCATCATATTAAAGCCCCACTGCTAATTCACTTTATTTTTCATTGTCAAGCAAGGCCCACTGGCGAAATGGAGTGCAGGAGAACTGTAAATTCAAATTCATTTAGAGCCTAGTCTCTGTGGCTGTTCCCTGACTTGAGCAGAGCATTTTGATTCTAATCAGCCCAAATGAGAAAGCCGGAGATTCTTTATGGAAAGGACGCTGCTGATGCTCGGGTCCATTCTCCATCCAGGCTTGCAGATTCTTATGAGGGGAAGCTGTATTTTAAGCAGCTTGTGCTCTGAACCCTTGAATCCCTCCTGACCCAGGCCTTTCCTCAGAGTTTTTAACGTGTCAAACATTTGCATGGACTCCCACTCACCAAAAGTCTATTTTTAGCCCTGGTTGGAAAGAGTGTGTTATTTACTCTTGTTTCTACCCTGCATCTAATAACACATGAGGCCCTGGCTGCATCTGCTGAAATGGCCCTGAAAGATTATCCATCCTTAGTATTTACTGGATGGATTCTCCTTTTCATGTAAGATGCTGTCTGGTCTGTCTGTTCATCCATGCCTTCATTCTGGCAAAGAAAATGGTAATAGCAGACTTCGAAGGTATCTTTCTCCAACTGTTATTAATTTCCATCTCTCTCTCTCTCTCTCACACTCTCTTTAGAGTCTGAGTAGGGGAGAGAAGAGACTGTGAGGGTAAAAAAAAGAGTGCATCATTCTGTCATTGTTCTCTCTAGTGCTTCTGGGCCCAAAATCAGAAAATGGACAGGAGAATCAAAGAGAATGAGAAATAAATTGCAGATAAGCACTGCTCAGGTTTCAGGTGGTAGCTAGCTACTCAGGAGCACTGCACATCAATATTGATTAAAGTACCCGGCAGGAAGAGGATTTTTTTTTTTTAAAGAGGAAGGTTACGTGGTTAGGTGGTGTTGGTCATATATTATTTGATTCACCTTAGTTATTTGTTTGAATGGTTGGTTGGTTTCTAGTGGGTTTTTTATTAGAGAAATAGTGCATTGTGGGTCACATTCAAATGAGAAAGCATGCTGAGAAATGTACTAGGCTATGTTAATCAACATGACAATGAAAGCCATCTTTGAAAAACAAATCATCTGTAGCTCAATTGGTAGAGCATGGCGCTTGTAACGCCAGGATAGTGGGTTCGATCCCCGGGACCACCCATACGTAAAAATGTATGCACACATGACTGTAAGTCGCTTTGGATAAAAGCGTCTGCTAAATGGCATATTATATTATTATTATATAAAATGCCCTAAAACTCCTATAAATTGTCTTAATAACATAACTTATGTCTAGAGTCCTTTGCTTAGCTCTCTAAGAGCATTGGGTTTTCAGAATTAAAATTATGTTTTTATTCCTATGTCATTTAATTAGTCTGTGTGCTGTTTGTGTTGACAACAATGACTTTACTGAACAAAAATATAAACGCAACCTGTTTCGTGTGCTGAAATAAAAGATCCCTGAACTTTTCCATGCGAACAAAAAGCTTATTTGTCCCAAGTTTTTGGGACCAATTTGTTTACGTCCCTGTTAGTGAGCATTTCTCCTTTGCCAAGATAATCAAAATGACAGGTGTGGCATATAAAGAAGCTGATTAAACAGCACGATGATTACACAGATGCACCTTGTGCTGTGGACAATAAAAGGCCCCTCTAAAATGTACAGTTTTGTCACACAACGCAATTGGCATGCTGACTGCAGGAATGTCCACCAGAGCTGTTGCCAGAGAATTTAATGTTCATTTCTCTACCATAAGCCGCCTCCAACATCGTTTTAGAGAATTTGGCAGGACTGGCCACCCCTCAGAGCCTGGTTCCTCTCTAGGTTCCTTCCTAAGTTCCTGCCTTTCTAGTGAGTTTTTCCTAGCCACCGTGCTTCTACATCTTCATTGCTTGCTGTTCGGAGTCATAGGCTGGGTTTCTGTATAGCACTTTGTGACATCTGCTGATGTAAAAAGGGCTTTTTAAATGCATTTGATTGATTGATTGATGTCTCAAGTTTTGAGGGAGCGCGCAATTGACATGCTGACTGCAGGAATGTCCACCAGAGCTGTTGCCAGATAATTTAATGTTCATTTCTCTACCATAAGCCACCTCCAATGTCGTTTTAGAGAATTTGGCAGTACGTCCAACCGGCCTCACAACTGCAGACCATGTGTAACCACGCCAACCCAGGACCTCCACATCCGGCTTCTTCACCTGTGGGATCGTCTGAGACCAGCCACCCAGACAGCTGATGAAACGGAGGAGTATTTATGTCTGTAATAAAGACCTTTTGTGGGGAAAAGCTAATTCTGATTGGCTGGGCCTGGCTCCGCAGTGGGTGGGCCTGGCTCCCAAGTGAGTGGACCTTTGCCCTCCCAGGCCCACCCATGGCTGCACCCCTGCCCAGTCATGTGAAATCAAAAGATTAGAGCCTAATGAATTTATTTCAATTGACTGATTTCCTTATATGAACTGTTACTCAGTAAAATTGTTGAAATTGTTGCATGTTGGGTTTATCTTTTCGTTCAGTAGAAGCTATGTATCTTAACAAGTGAGGCTTTAGAGGTGCTATCCTACACATTTAGAATACTGAATGTAAAGATGCTCTCCTACTAGGTGAAACCCTCATCAAATCTACATCTCTAAAGAATAAGGATTGGAGAAACCTGATGTGGATATCTCACCAACCATCACATGATACTGCAAATACATGACTGCTTTAGATTTCAAATCAATAGGTGATCAATATTAACCATTAGCCATGAATATGTGAAAAGTTTCATTCCAGAACGCTATATATCAATTTTCAGAAATGTTGGTAAATTAGCTTTTATTCTTTAAAGAACTTATGAAAGAGATTAGTGTGTCTGTTCACTATCTAATCATGGCATGGGGTTGTTCAATGACAAACATATATTTGTTTGAAATCTATCACTTGAAACAAATAATCATGTTTTTTTTGCAAAACACTATATATCCGCCTCACTCTCTAAGTTTTACACAGTCAAATGTAACAAATAAAAAAATAAAAAAATTAAAAAATTAATTCAGTAATATGAGATCTGTATGTAAAACATTTACATTTGACATTTTTTTAATTTAGCAGATGCCTAGATGGTTCAAAGCTGCATGACTTAGTAGTTTTAGTATAATAATAGATCCCACTTGATTTGTATTTGTTTTCAATTTTTTTATGTATTATTATTAACACTATTATTATCATCTTGCAGAATCGTAGGCTATGCTGTCTCCTTTAGAACATCCATTTAAACCTTTGGGAATAACATGCACTAGAAATTCAATAACCGTAAAATTCAGCTAATTGTCCTCACCTAGCCAAGATTATTAGTCCTAGGTAATTGTGAGCGTTTGCAAAAAGAAGTAAGGCAACGACGCCTGGTCTAGGAGTCCATAAGTCATTTTTACTTATCAATTCTGGGCACCTGCATTCCTTAGTGCCGCCTAACATTCGGCCCCTCAACATGCACTAGAAATACAGCTACGTGCACTCACGACAGCCGGAACAACACACACACACGGAGGCACGCACGCAAGGGCGCGCAAACCGCCAGCACACACACACACGCGCGCACCACTGAATGGGCAATAAATTGTGGAAATGTAGGCCTATGAGGAAAATAGGTAATTGGCTATAACCATGAGTGACTGAAACACCAAAGTAATGAGATGCGCATGAAGAGCTGTTTTCAGTACCTGCAGTTGTACGTTCGGATCTCCTTGTTATCCCTTTTGCACTTGACTGCCACAAAAATCATAGTGACGAACAGGATAGCAGCAATAGAGCCCAGGGCAATGATGAAAATCAATGACAGGTTTACTGGTCCAATAGATTCCTGGGCGTTCAGGTCAGGTGAGAGGTAGACAACAATGTATGCAGAGGCCGACAACGACGGTTTCCCGTGGTCGCGTGCCACCACTGTGATCTCGTAGGTCGACTTGACCTGCTCCCCGAACATCTTGGTGGACCGCACCTCTCCATTCACCTGGTCGATCTCAAAGAAAGGCCTGTCTCCCTCCGAAATGGTATAGGTCAGCCTTCCATTCTCCCCCTCGTCGTAGTCGTCGGCCTTGACTTGGGTCACCAGGTAACCCACTCCTGCGTTCCTTGGAATGGATACCTCCGCGGTGCCATTTACCAGGGGTGGAGTGGTCATAACAGGTGTATTGTCATTCACATCCAAAACGACAATGCGCACCGTCGCGTTACTGGATAAGGACGGATTCCCCTGGTCCCTGGCCAAAACTTTGAAGTCAAAAGTCCTAGTGTACTCGTGGTCGAATGATCTCATGGAGTAAATACGTCCTGAAGGATTTATGCTGACATATGTGTTTACGTCCATGTGTTTAATCTCACTGGGCACGATGGTGTATGAAACGGTGCCATTCATGCCCAAATCGGGATCTACAGCTGACACTGCCAGCAAACATGAGCCGGGCAGGTTGTTTTCTAGGACCATCTCTTGGTAATGGGGTTTTAGGAAGTGGGGAGGGTTATCATTTTCATCTGTGACTTTCACTACAAACGACTTAGTGGCGCGTAAAGGGGGGGTGCCACTGTCCTCTGCTTGGATAGTTAGATTGTACGTGTCCCTCTGCTCTCTGTCTAGCCTGCCATCGACAAGGATGGTTGAGAAACTCTCGTATTCCTGGAGCTTGAAAGGAACGTTGCCTTGTAGTCTACACTGCACCTTGCCATTCGCGCCCGCGTCCTTATCTGAGACCCTCACTAATGCAATAACGTATCCACGTAGCGCGTTCTCACTCACTTCAATCAGCTCTGTGTTCACCGACAATAAACTAATGACAGGTGGGTTATCATTTGCATCCATCACATTGACCGTGACTTTACAATGAGCCGGAATAGAATTGGGACCTAAATCTTTGGCTTGGACATCAATCTCGTAAATATGGGTTGCTTCATAATCCAAAGGGCCATTTACAGTGATAATACCGGTTCTAGGGTCAATTTTGAATACATCTCTAGTTTTCTCGGTGACGTAACTGTTAAACGAGTACACAACCTCACCATTAGTTCCCTCGTCAGGATCCGTTGCATTCAAGTCAATTACAAGTGTATTAATAGGATAATTCTCCATCACGTTCACTGTATACACAGGCTGGTCAAAAACGGGATTATTATCATTTGAATCCATTACTTTAATATTGAGCTGGACTGCGCCAATCTTTGGGGGGTCTCCGCCGTCTTCTGCACTGATTTCGTATGAATAGTGAGACTGGGTCTCCCTATCTAACGATTTTTGCACTACGAGTTCGGCAATCTTGGACCCGTCCCCCCTAGTCTTAATCTCCAACCCGAAGAGCTCATTCGGGGTGATCGAATATGATTGCACACCGAAGATCCCCGAGTCCGGATCGCTTGCCCCCTCTAGGGGAAACCTGGTACCAGGGGAGGCATTCTCTGAGATTTCAATGTCAATGTGGTTTGTGGGGAATCTGGGCGCATTATCGTTCAAATCCACAATTTCAACTTTAATGACACAGATCTCCATATAGTTTGACATCACCTCCAGAGAGACAGTGCACTTTGACGTCTGTCGGCAAGCCACATCCCGGTCTATTTTCTGATGTGTGAGGAGAAGTCCAGCCGGGCTGAGTTCCACCCATCGCGGCTCTGAATTCGAGATGACCCGCAAGTACGGTGCACGCGGTGCAATGGCAAATCCTTGAGTTTGTGCGTCCTTTGTCACATTTCCAATGATATACCCAGCCTTCTGCTCCTCGTTTATCGAGTATTTCAAATTGATAACAGAATCAGCCCCAGTCCAGCATAAAAGGACTATCCAAAGAATTTGCATAAAATCCATCTCCTTGGCGTACATTGTACCTGTTGATTTTTCCTTAGATTTAATTGGGACCTCGTATGATCATGCACACCTATGCATATCAGAGATAACGGGCACAATTCTCCAGTTAGCTAATCTCATCGAAAAGTTATCCTGGGAATAGGTTTCGATAACAGAAAAGGCTCCTCCTATCTGATATAAATATAACTTGATTATATCGATATGGTCTTAAGTCCATCTACCTCATTGTACTCTTCTGAGATAAACCACATTCTCTAATCTGCTGCAACGCATGAGATCTTGAGGATAGACCTTAGAAAACATTCTGAATGGTCTCAGAACACTGATGGTCTCAGAACACCATGTACATCTGCGCTGTTTATATCAAGCTACAACTATCGGAACGTCTGACATGATAAACCGACCATTTCGATGCAGGCTGGAAAACAATGTAAATAATGAATTTAAAAATCAAAAGGTAGGAAAATTCTAATGAACAGGTTCACAAATAAATAATGTTCACTGAAGATTAAACAATTGGCTAAAAATTATCCAGTTCAATTCTTCCCAGCATCATGATTCCGATACCATAACCATAAGGAGCATTTTAGACAAACTGGATTTTACGCAAACGTTCCACACATTCATATGAATGATTTGTTCAAGTTGTAATGACTTTTCCTCTTCAATGGGCAATTATATCACACCACATATCCGATGGAAACGTAAAAAATGAATCCGCATTGAGAAAATCCGTGAATAGCCAAAGTCCAGTCATCGAATGTAGACCAATGATGCTTTTGCCAGAACGACTTTTATGGGCCTAATGCTATCAGTGAAGACCAAGGTTACCTTTTTATTTCCAGGCGAGCAGTTAGAGGTTTCTCTCTCTCTTTCTCTCTCTCTCTCTCTCTCTCTCTCTCTCTCTCTCTCTCTCTCTCTCTCTCTCTCTCTCTCTCTCTCTCTCTCTCTCTCTCTCTCTCTCTCTATCTCTCTCTCTCTCTCTCAATGTCTTGTATCTTTCTTTTACTAATTAATTTCCTCCGATCTCACACATGGAGACATCGAACACGTCCCAGGGAGATATTGTCAATATCAAATCCAGTGTAAAAATATTGAGGCAAAAAAAATGATGTTATACCGTCACAGTAAAAAGCAGTTCGTTTCAAGCATGCAGCAGAGCCAAATGCATGAAAATATCCAGCACCACTCGTTGTCAGTTGGTTACTAGTTCACTCCAATACGCGCTCCGGCTCGGCTCGCATCAATAGTACACACTGCCGAATGCACAGCTCAGCGCTGAGCGCTAATTCTCAGGACCAGGACCCGCAATCCCCTCAACCAATCAGAGGTTACACAGGAGGGTTGGATTTGCTGGTGGGTGGGGAAATATACAGCAATGAAAACTCGCCCAGCTACCTGCACACTTGTTCATCTGTGGAATGGGTTAAGTAGTGTAAATACATGTATGTATTTATTACTCGATGTTTATAATGTAGTAGGACTATTTAACTACCCTATGTCTATATAGCCTAATGGTTAGACCTCTTAGTATGTTTACTCTATTTAATACTGCATGTTAATATCGCGTTTATCGTCATTCCAATGCAATCGGAGTGTTTACATGCTTTCTTTCTCAGTGTGATATACCGGTGGTATTCAGGGTTTGCCCAAAATGCAGCTGTTTTCGACTGGGATCTGAGGACAGAGAGAGTCCAATCCTTCAATGATGCCATGGCTTTATGTATCGAAATTATACTTGATCCACACATGATTGCTGATGACTTCCCGATGATTTGATATATGCTTTCCTTACATAATGGACGTATAGCAGCCTATTTTGTTACGGTGAGCCAAATTTGATTATGAAACGCTGGTCCTTTTGTCGGCTTCAGAATGTTGTACTGTAGATGCGTGAAATGTAACACCACTCATTCTTTTTTTTTTTTTTGTCATTTAGCAGACGCTCTTACCCAGAGCGATTTACAGGAGCAATTAGTGTTAAGTGCCTTGCTCAAGGGCACATCGACAGATTTTTCACCTAGTCGGCTCGGGGATTAGAACCAGCGACCTTTCGGTTACTGGCACAACGCTCTTAACCACTAAGCTACCTGCCGCCCATTCTTGAGAAACAGGTAGGTATAGTTTGTCATGTAAAACGAGGACACGTTCGTTACCAATATAATGACGACAAGGGTTATGTTGTATGTTATTTATGGCACATCATGTCTGTATTTCTGCACAATTAAACAAATGTGCTTGTAGTCGCAGGCTGCAATTTCTCCCTCTCTCTCACACACACACTCAGTCACGTGCACACACACACGTACGTACATACATGCATACACATACACATTGCATTTCTTAGATGTGAAGAAAACGATATTACAATAACAAAAAAAATATGATTGCATTGATGCAGAAACATGTTCTAATTAAAATAATTTGAGAGCATTCTTTATGATAGTTCACTGCAGTCGTTCGGTCTGTTGAAATGAACACTTTTTGTGTCATGCCAGCTGATCCCTGATAAGGCTACTACTGTAAATTACCTGTAGACTAGGCTACTTCGATCTGCTTTTAGGTGCAAACAGCAATATAACCTCCCACGTCAATCAGTGGAAATGAAGGCTAGCCTACCTGAGAAGTCATATAAACGTACATTCAGAAGTTCACGATACTGAGTAGCAATATTTGATTGTTGTACTAATGGTACAGAAAGCACACTGATGTTTGTTACATTTGTGTCATGTGTATAAAAATTGGCCAGTTCCTATTCCTAAAATTACTATTTTGAGGATGCGATAGACTGCATATGTTATCCGTCGACAAAAATATTGGCTATTTGCTTGGATATGTCATGTAGTCTAATACATTTTTTTTTGTGGCAACGACTAGGCCTAGTATGTGTGTTGTAAGGCTTATTTATCATTTAGAATATACATCCTTTCCCTCGTGGGTTTCGCTGCCTTCTCACTCCCCAGCTCACTCCTCCCATCTGGTAAACTTGGCTGCAGACAACCTAGACCATATCGAGGGTAACCCGGTTTAAAAGTCACAAGGGTGACACCTAGTGTCCTTTTGCTGCTTGGCTCGGTTATTGACATTGACCCAACAACATTTGTCACAAACATTCTGCCTATTGTTAAATTGCATAACCCACACCTTTCTCATTGTGGCAGACCATCTTGCGTTGTAATATGCAGTTATTTGGTTTTTCAGCGTTTTATTACGTTTGGATGTAATTTGTTTGATTTCCTGTTTGTATTACAGGTGGTTATTGTTTTCTTATTATCGACAAACAGTATTTGTCCACAACTTATGCTTTCACAGAAATGTTTTGTATTCCTCATATCTTACCTGAGATGTAATGAAAAATTGTAAAAGCCATACATCAAACTATTATACCAAATAGCCAAATTTCTGTAATACAACACCAGGGGCGCAACTTTGGTTTTAGAAGTGGGGGGGACAATATAGTGTTATAATTATAATTTCTCATTGTGGCATCATCAAACTATTATACCAAATAGCCATATTTCTGTAATACAACACCAGGGGCGCAACTTTGGTTTTAGAAGTGGGGGGGACATAATATATGTTTATATATTATATATTTCTCATTGTGGCAGACCATCTTGCGTTGTAATATGCAGTTATTTGGTTTTTCAGCGTTTTATTACGTTTGGATGTAATTTGTTTGATTTCCTGTTTGTATTACAGGTGGTTATTGTTTTCTTATTATCGACAAACAGTATTTATGCTTTCACAAAATGTTTGTATTCCATATCTTACAGATTAATGAAAAATTGTAACCAAAAAGATTATATGTTTTGTAATACAACACCAGGGGCGCAACTTTGGTTTTTAGAAGTGGGGTGAATAATATATGTTTATATTATATATATAATATATATATATAGATTATATTCTATATATATATATATATATATATATCTATATATATATATATTATATATTACCAGGCAAACGTTTGGACGTTTACTCATTCAAGGGTTTTTCTTTATTTGATTACTATTTCCTACATTGTAGAATTAATAGTGAAGACATCAGGAACTATAAAATTAACAACATATGGAATCATGTAGTAACGAAAAAAGTGTTCAACAAATTAAAATATATTTTATATTTGAGATTCTTCAAATAGCCACTCTTTGCCTTGATGACAGCTTTGCACACTCTTGGCATTCTCTCAACCAGCTTCACCTGTAATGCTTTTCCAACAGGCTTGAAGGAGTTCCCACATATGCTGAGCACTTGTTGGCTGCTTTTTCTTCACTCTGCTCTCCGACTCATCCTAAACAATCTCAATTGGGTTGAGGTCGGGGGATTGTGGAGGCCAGCTCATCTGATGCAGCACTCCATCACTCCTTCTTGGTAAAATTGTGCTTACACAGCCTGGAGGTGTGTTGGGTCATTGTCCTGTTGAAAAACAAATGATAGTCCCAATAAGCGCAAACCAGATGGGAATGGCGTATCGCTGCAGAATGCTGTGGTAGCCATGCTGTTTAAGTGTGCCTTGAATTCCAAAAAAATCACAGACAGTGTCACCAGCAAAGCACCCCCACACCATAACACCTCCTCCTCCATGCTTTATGTTGGGAACTACACATGCGGCGATCATCCGTTCACCTACACCACATCTCACAAAGACACGGCGGTTGGAACCAGAAATCTCAAATTTG